ATACACCTACCTTGTCCCCACCCCCCCACACATGTATCATTTCTCTCTCTCTTCCCTCCTTTTTCTGCTTTGCATTTGTTACTGTCTGGTTTATATTATATTTATCTGCCTTGCTTAGTGACCGTGTGACCTGCTGGAATATAGGCTCCACGAATCAGGGGGATTTGGGTCTGCTTCAGCCACGGTTGTACCCCCTGTGGTGAGAAAAGTATTAGCAGGTTCTTTGTGAACATTTGAGGATTACATCAATGGATGGATGGATGGATGGATGGATGGATGGATGGATGGATGGATAGATGAATGGTAAAGGTAAGTTACCCTTTGTAAACTAGAGTTTCTAAAGGGTAACTTACCTGCTGACTTTCCATATAATCCCTTGTAAGATCTTAATCACATCTCCTTCCATACTATATTTTCTCTCTCTGTCTCTCTCTGATTTTTTTACATGACTCTGGTCAGAGTGTATATATATTTATATATATGTATAATAAGATATATCTTTATAGATATCTCTCTATATGTGAGATATATCTTTATAGATATCTCTCTATATGTGAGATATATCTTTTTCTCTCCTAACATACTACTTGATTAGAAGAAAATGTGGAAATGATAACTGATCATTGAAAATTCATAGACCTGCTCAGATTGAACTATTACTAACATTTAATGTCTTGCCTTTAGCTCATTATTTTCACATTGTAAGTTTCAAACGATATTATGATCATAGTATAGATACAATGTTTCGTGTTTTTTAACAGACTTGGAATTTCATTGCAAAAACAATTTAATGAGATTGATCAAAATTTACATAATCATTTCCCTTTCTCTGTATATGTATGTTATAGTCAATATATTTCTTTTATCATGTTGCTGTAGACATTTTTTTTTTTTTGGTAGAAAGCTTTTTCCAAATTGGGGATTAAGGAAAGACTTTTGAATGGCCTCCATGCTACCCCTTAGCATCCTGCCATTACCCTCTCCATTCCCTCACCCCACTGCTGATGTAATTTATGACTCTGGCTTCGTATTTGTTTGAAGCCAGTCCCTTAAGGGGTGACCTCCCAGTGTCTTCAATTATTATTTTAAATGACGCCTTAGGCCCTGCCTGGCACAGTGATGCCCTCACCTTCCTTCCTGCCTTCCAAGCTCGGAGCTCAGCTGCCAAACTAGCTATGCCCCCTCCTGTCCTCAGAGCTGCCTCCAGAGTCCCAGCAGAGAAGCAGATTAACCCCTTTTGTTAGCAGAGGTAATTTGTCTGGGCTCAGCATTAATAAGGAATGCCATAAGCAGTTGGGGTCAGGAAGAACAGATCTGTCAAGCCCCAGGGTTAATTTAATAGCAATCTGTTGGCTGTCTGCCTTGTATATTAGCTGCGAATCCAGTGCTATGTTTTGCTTCCACCACTTAGTTCTTTGGGACAACAGGGAAATAATTTGGATAGAGAGCTCTGAAGGATAGAGAAGGGAAAATTGACTGTCAAAATGCATCATTCTTTTCCAAGATAATACAGTGCTTATCTTTTTTCACTTTCCCTTCCAACATGAAGGGCAAAACCACATATGCTGAAGGTGTACATCTCCCTTTAGAAAAGAGTGAGAAGAAAGGCCTGAGATGATACAGATCTGAACTATCCTGTTCCCATCATTCCCATAAAGCCATTGAATTTGGTAACTCGTCTCCTCCCAAATGTTTTTAGAACTCAGCAAATCCTCCATCAGTTAACAACTCAAGAAATCCCATATGTTTCTGTCCCAGTTTATGGTTCAGAAAAGAGGAAAATAATTATCAAATCATAGGACAAAGAAGTCCTGAGTCAGATGCTGTGTCCAAATTCTGATTCTGAAAAGTGTGGCCACCAAAGTGATCAGTGAATTAAAAGCACACAGTCTGCCCTCTCAGATTAGCCAGGGGAAGTTTCAAGAGAGCCAGAATTACTGCACTCAGAACGGCTGGCTCTGTAAGGGCCTTTTCTCGGGGGAGGAAAATAGCATGTGGTCAAGAGCCCAGGCTCTGAAGTCAGACAGGGTGGGTTCAAATCCCAGCTCTTCTCTCTGCTAGTCCTATGACCTTGATTAATTTACCTCAGTTACTGAATAGTACTGACCTCGTTAGGCTGAGATGAAGGTCAAATGAGACAATACATGGCACTTGGTGAACATTGACTGCTGGTTATTATTATCGTCCTTGTCCCTGTCATCGCGGTTGTTAAAAAGAGGATTAGAGTCATCCTTAAACACCCACAGAGTCAGACATTCTAGTCAAAAGAGAGATGCTTGGGGATGAGGGATGATGGGGAGGCTTGGGCAGAAGGGAGGGAGCAAGTGAATGAGGGAAGGAGAGAAGATGGACCCAGAGGAAGCAGCCCTAAGCAGACTCAGTGCGCACATCCGTGTTGGTGTTCTTGGTGGTGGGGGATGTTCCTTCCTGCTTTCAAAGATATCTTTAAGCACGTCGTTTTCACACATTCTGACTTTGGGGCTTTATTTTTAGGTGAGAAAAAAATAACAGTAGATGTGGCACCTCCCCCTCCCACACAGCAAAGATCCCTTCCAGTGAAGCTTGTTTTTAGAGCTATCCTGGTAGAGGTTGAGAAAGCTGACACCAGATTTTCTTTCCCTATTTTAGGAAAAGAGAAACATGCTCACTGGTATGGTAGGCTTTGGAGGCTCTTTCTGGAGGGTGATGAAATCTGACAGCAGCTGAACACTAACCTCTGCTCACCCCATCCCGTGTCGTGGCCACAGAGCCCAGGGCAAGGGTCAGGGGGGCTGGAAAAAACATCAGAAATGTAGCTTGGGGCCTTCCAGGGGGCTCAGCCTCCTGTTCCCCAGCATGTGGTGCTACCTGCAATAATATTTATAACTCTGGTAGCAGTTGAGTTGAAAGGTAATGTTTTGTGAATCCAGGGGACCCACGTGCTTTGGAGACCCAAGTAGTATTTACCTCTGGGTTTGGTGGGGGAAATTGTAGTACAATGTAGTGTCAGTTCAGTCGCAGACTCATTTTAGAAAGAAACAACAGGACTTCGCAGAGATCATTGAAGGGGAAAGAGGCACAACCAGATACAGAGCCATTATTGCACCAGAGTGCCTGCTGGAGCACAGGTGATGTTTGATAATAGATGGCTGTGTTGGTGCTGGTATGACTACAAATACAGGTGCATTCACTTGTACCTCATGTAAACTCTAAGGAGGGGACTATGAAAAGCATAAGAAACTTTCATCCATCCCAGACTAATAGCATAGTCTGTATCAAGTTAGTTCTTGTTGAGTCGATGCATTGTTTCCCAAAATGGGGTATATAAGCTCCCGGCACAGGTATAAATGTGTTTATTTTAATTATGTATTTATTACATGTACATTTTTCAAAATGTAAGTAGCTCGTTAAATCCATGATTTTATGAATATTGGATTACAGCTTAGACGAGGCTAAGGAAACAAAGTCGATAGAAGCTGATCTGAAGAAAGCGTGTTAAGCAAATACCACCTGGTGATATACACATGGGGCCAAATCACAAAGGCGTCTCAGAAGTGGTGAAGTCCAGGAAAAGTGGGCAACGTTTTGGTCAGCTTTCCTATGTAACAGCATCTGCATCACGAGGCCTGTGGGGTCCTCAGACAGCACGTCAGCCCCAGCCAGATGCCTCCCATCTGTACATGGGTCCCCCAAGCTCTGGGTAAGGGTATCAAGGAATCGACACAAACCTAGCCCCTCACACATGCCAGACCTCCTCCTGAAGGTCCTGTGTCCACTGAGTCACCTCCTTAATTAAAAGGCCAGATGTTTCATTTCAATATACAAGGATGTGGTCTTTAAAAATGGAGCTATAATAATTCTTGATCAGAATGGAAAACATTGAGGAAGAAGAAAACAGATGATAAAGGTATATTCCCTAGGAGGCTAAAACTGTCCCACCATACAACTGGATGGCTTTTTTTTTTCTGGTGCTTAAACTCCCACAGAAGCTCTACAGCAAATCACAGCTTATAGAAACATGAGGTCATGTATATCTCTAATAAGACAAATTTTGCACAGTTAGCAAAATTTTGCACCTGAGATAAAATCCTGGCCATGTGACTTCCACTCTAGCCATGTGACTTGGAGCAAGCTTCCATCTCCACCTCTGATAAATGGGGATAAGAAAAGGACTGGTTATAGAGCTGTTATAAGGATTAAATGAGATAAAGTACATGGTATGCTTTGCACAGCAGTTGACCTATAGTCAGTGTTCACTAAATGGTAGCAGCTCGTAGTATTGTCACCCATGTGTTGTTAAAGCGATCTCAGGGGGCACCTGGATGGCTCAGTAAGCATCTGACTTTGGCTCAGGTCATGATCCCACAGTTCCTGAGTTCAAGTCCAACATCGGATGAGCTCGAGCCCCACTTCAGGTAAAAGACAAGCCCCACTTCCTCCCTCCCTCCCTCCCTCCTCCTCTGTCTCTCTCTCTCTCTGCCCCTTCCTCACTTGCATTTTCTCTCTCAAAAAAAAAAAGAAAAAAAAAAAAAAGGAAGATCTCAGGGATTTCGTAGAAGAGCATTCATAGTCTATCATAGATAGCTTTTATCAACCCAGGAGTCTGGGGAAAGATTCAAGTAAACTGAACTATTTAGTTGGAATGGGACTAGTTTCTTCACCACTGTTGTCAAATGAGAAATGAAAGTCTTTCATAAAACGCAGCTCGGCACATTTTAGCATGGTTGCATGTGCAGATAACTTTGATGGGCCGATGGAACATGTTCTATATGCTATGGAGGATGAAATGAATGTAAAGAACCAGGGAGACCTGAGTTCTAATGGTGCCTCTGATTCCTGGGCATCTCTGGGCCTCATCTGCCAAGCCCAGTAATACCCTCACATTTGCTCGCACAGTTCCTGTGAGGATCTACTGTGTGTGGTAAACGCTCGCCTGTCACACGAAATGCAGGCAGTGCTGCTACAAATCACCCCCGCGGGTCTGCCCCCTTCTGGTCCCTTCCTTGACTCGTCCGTGCCAGATATCGTCGACATTAAGCCGGCCAACATGGAGGAGCTCACAGAGGTGATCACAGCAGCCGAGTTCCACCCCCATCACTGCAACACCTTCGTGTACAGCAGCAGCAAAGGGACAATCCGGCTGTGTGATATGAGGGCGTCGGCCTTGTGTGACAGGCACACCAAATGTGAGTAGCAAGCAGCACGGAATAGCTGGGGGTGGGTCACTGGGCCCTGAGATGCAGGAGGAGGAGGGGAGAGCCCAGGGGATTTGGATCCCCTTCCCCGCCTTCCACACCCTGGCAGCCAAGTGCAGGTGTTGGCCTGACTCAGGACTCAGCTCCATGTCAGGTGTTTCGGTACAGATGGAACCTCATGTCCAATTCCACAAACATTCGCTAAAGGCGAATGTGGAATCCAGAGGTGAGTGAGACATGAGCTGTGTCACATCACGTTGTGACATGATCTGAAGTATGTTTTAAGATCATTCTTGCTGCTGTGGGGAAAATGAATCTGAGGAGCTCCCTGAAGGGAGACCAGGTAGGGGATCATTGCAGTACGCTGGCAGGGGATGGGCGTGGCCGGGACAAGGGCGCCAGTTGGAGGTGGAGAATCGCTGGTGCGTTCTGGACAGATCTCGGGGTAGAGTTAACATGGCCTGCTGGACTGCACGAGAAGCTGTCCTGAATGGCACCTGGGGGTGGTGACTAAGTTAATAATACTGTAGTGCATATTTAAAAGTGGCTAAGAGAGTAGATCTTAAAAGTTACCATCACCAGAAAAAGAATTTGTAACTGTGCGTGGTGATGAATATTAACCCGGCTTATTGGTGATTATTTTGCAACATATACGTATATCAAATCATTATGTCATGTACTTGAAACTAATATAATGTGTTTTGGTTATATATCAATTAAAAAAAAAAAAAAGAATTGGCGCACCTGGGTGGCTCAGTCGGTTGGGCATCCGACTTTGGCTCAGGTCATGATCTCGTGGTTCGTGAGTTACAGCCCCACGTTGGGCTCTGTGCTCCCATCTCAGAGCCTGGAGCCTACTTCCAATTCTATGTCTCCCTCTCTCTCTCTGCCCATCCCCAACTCGTGCTCTGTCTCTCTGTCTCTCTCTCAAAAATAAACACTTAAAAAATAATAATTAAAAAAAAATAAAAAAGAAAACCACCTGCTGCAGGAAGGGGTTAGTGCTTTTAGAGAGGTTGTAGCTCTGGGAACCAGAACTCTCAAAGTCCCAATGGCCATAGTGGGCACCAGAGGATAGCTTCAGAGAAAGGGGATGGGTTACATAAAGGGCAGCCAGACTCACAGGCCCTTGGGTCATGCTGGTTTTCAGGCCACTGTTGGAGAGAAAAACAGCTCCAAACTAGTAGAGACTGAGTGCTTCGAAGCCAAAGGCTCTAAGACCCATGTGAGCAGGTGAAGCCTGCTGGCTCTGACAGCAAGTGCTGTGATAGAAGGGATGGGCCTGGAGCTTTCTGGAAAAGGAACTGCTCCTCAGAGTAGAAGTGCCTAAAGGCAGTGATAATCCATGTCTAGTGTTGGACTAAATAATGTGCAGCTGCCAAGATGTTCATGGGGGACTAGAGCTCTGTTTGTTTCCCCACTACCTTCTGCTTGGTGTTATTTAGCCTCTGCAGTTTGCTGTGGAGACCCAGAAATTAAGACCTTTCTCTCCCATAGTCCCACCTTCCACTTTCAATCCCTGTGTGACATGAGTGATGTGATGGCTCTGCCAGGAGAGGGGTGAATGTGTGGGTCGTTTTGATAATCTTTGCTCACTCATTTGGTGTGAGAAGTATCACATGGGGAAGCTGGTTTGTAGAGTGCAGTGCTGTATACACTGTGTGGGTTCTGGAGCCACACGGACCCAGGTCAAAGCCAGACGCAAATGGGTAAAACAGTAACTTCTATCTCATGAGTTTGTCATGGGACTGAGGTGAGGTAACTATTCAGAATTGTTAGTGTGAGGGGCAGCTGGCTGGCTCAGTGGGTAGACATGCAACTCAATCTCAAGGTCATGAGTTCGAGCCCCCTGTAGGGCATAGAGCCTACTTTAAAAAACTGTTAATGCGACGTTTTACTTTTTTGCGTGTTTATTTTACCCTTAAAGCAGGTTTCATTTCAGAGTATCTACCTTTCAAGTGCTCAGTAGCCACATGTGACTCATAGCTATCCTATTATTAGTACCTGTTTAAGACATTTCCATCATGGCAGGATGTTCTTTTGGAGAGGACCTGTCTAGGCTATTAGCTCTCTGGACCTATTTTGTTTTGCTCATAGCTGTTTCCCCACACTAAACCAGGGCCTGGCGCATGATAGACGATGAATAAATATTTGGTCGTGTGTGTGTGCTGGCACTGATCTTTGAGCAGTACTTACTTCTGTAAGCCAACAAGAGGAGGAGTGTTCAGTGCAGAAGGACCAGCATGTGCAAAGGTGCCGAGCCACAAAAGATCGTAATGTTGGTGGAACTGCAGAATGAATGATATGGATGGTACATAGGGAATGACTGGGAGACAGAAGTGATTTGAAGCTGAGGAGGAATACAAGAGCCTGGGCATATGGCCATGATGAAGAACTTGAATGTTTTCTCAAAGTCAGTGAACAGCCATTTACGTAACCAGGAGAGTAATATGATCGGAATTACTTGTTACAGAAGTTGCTTAGACATTAGACAGAAGGCAGAAGGATGGAGGCTGGGTTTTGACTGGGAGAAAAAACAGGCAAGGAAATAGGTTAGGAAGATACTATAATGTAGACAAGGATTTCTTAACAGCAACACTATTGAATTTGGGGCATACAGTTCTTAGAGGAAGGGAGGCTGTCCTTTGTATTATAGGATGTTTAGCTGCATCCCTGGCCTTTCCCCCACTAGATGTGAGTGGCCAAGGTAAGTTGTGACAACCAAAACTATCTCCAGATGATGTGAAATATCCAGGAGGAAGAAAATTGCCCTTGGTTGAGAACATATCTAGACTAGTCCCCGCCCATACCAGCCTGAATGTCCCTGATCTCGTCTGATCTCGGAAGCTAAGCAGGGTCGGGCCTGGTTACTACTTGGGTGGGAGAACTACATATCTAGACTACAATTCCTCATCAGTCCTTCAGCATGATTTTCATGTATCTGTGATGAGTCTTTTACTATTGAGAACTCTGAGGGGTCCACTGGAAAGGGAAGACCTCTCCTGCATTCACTACATTGAAAATTTGGCTCATGACTTAAGATGTATCCAGAAAACATTTCAGGAATAGTGTGCAAGGCAGTGTGTTAACACCCAGATGAGCACTGGAGATAGTCAGGGATTAGGATGTTCAGAGGAGGGTGGGACATTTGGGATAGACATCACAGGGGAAGGCCGAGACTGAGGAGTCATGTTGAACAAAAGTAGGATTTGGTGTGGTGGGAAAGAGAAGGAGAAGGGTGTTTTGGGCAGTGCGTACAGATTGGGCAAAAGCCTGAAGTTAGGAAGTTACGTGCAACCTTTTTAGAGTCTTAGTAAGAGGTGTCAGCTGGGTGAACAAATATCAAGGAAAGAGGCGAAATAGGGGTGATGGTTCCCATCAGGTTGGTCCTTGAAGATTAAAGTCAAAAGTTTATGGTTCCGTGTATTCATTCATTCGTCCATTCAGTCATTGAGCACCTACTCCGTACTCAGAGTCTGGCTCCCAGTGTTTCATAAACTTTTCCACTGAGGACACACAGCACTCTGGGGGCAGGTCATGAGCCTGGCTGCCGTGGAAGAAGGGGCACCCAGAGGGAATGAAACCTCTCCCTTGGGCCCTGGGTGACCCTGCCCACCAGCATAGAAAAAACAGCACACACCTGGCAGAGGCCAGAGATCCTGGGGGAGACCACAGCAGATTTTCTTTGAAGTCTTTTCTGTCCTAAAATTTCACATGAATTTTGCATTTTACTCCCATAAAATGCCTATTTTCAGTTGAATTTAATAATTACATTTCTACCCCACTCCCAAATTTCCAGCAAAATTGATGTTCCCAAAAGATGCAGTGTTCATCCCGTGGCTTTTTGTACTTCCTAGTTCATCCCCCGTTCTCCCCCACCCAGACACATACGCATGCCCCAGTTTGAGAGACAGCCCTAGTTATGGAGAGTGATTGGAGATCATCTGGCGGGAGAATAGAGTTATAGAATTTATGTTTTATGGAAGATTAACACAGTGGTGGTGGGAAGAAAGGTAAGAGAATTAGAAGATTTGGGGGGCACCTGGGTGGCTCAGCGGGCTGAGCGTCTGACTTTGGCTCAGTCATGATCTCATAGTTTGTGAGTTCAAGCCCCACATCAGGCTCTCTGCTGACAGCTCAGAGTCTGGAGTCTGCTTCCGATTTTGTATGTCTGTCTCTCTCTGCCCCCCCCCACACACACACACACACTCACACCCTGTCTCCCTCCCTCCCTCTTTCTCTCTCTGTCTCTCTCAAAAATTTAAAATTTTTTTTAAAAAATCAGACGATTTTGCTTTAGCCTCAACACAAAGGAAATTCATAACCTACAGAAGGATGGTGGCTATCAGAATCAAAAGGAAGAGAAGAGGAAAAGGAACAGTTTTTAAAAAATGACTACAGGTGCTACGAGCATTATCAGAGGTTGACATTCATCACACATGGATATTAGTTGTTGATTGTCCTTCCCCTCTGGACCACAAATCCTCTGAGGGTAAGAACTGAATCGGCTTTGCTCATATGTTGCCAGGTGTAGCACATAAGTAGGTGCTCAGTAAATACTTATTTAGTAAGTGAATTAATGCGCTAGGGTTGACATAAATGGCATATGGGACATGGACTGGTAAAAGCTATACCAGGGCAGAGTGAAAGGTTGGGATTCTGCTGGAAGCATGTTCTGTGTGGGGTGATGTGAGCTGTCTGAGGGGGCAGACACCAGCTGGTAGGGCCACAGATGCAAAGTGAGTGCCAGAGATGGCTCGAGGACCCCCAGGGTGCTCACCGCCCACAGTGGCAGACACGAGCTTGGGCTTTGGAGTCAGACCCAAACATTGAGGAATAATCTCACGGTGAGGCTTGAGGACCCCTGAAGTCAGGGTGGAAAAAGGATAAGGCCTTAGAAACTCCCAGAACTAGAAAAGTTTAGAGCAGAAGCTTTGGAATCAGAACTCCACTCTGACATTCAGTCACTGTGTGACCTCGGGCAAGCTGTC